CCTCTCTCTCTCTCTCTCTCTCTCTCTCTCTCTCTCTCCATTTCTTGTCTTGTCTAAGAAGAAGAAATTCTGAAAACTTAAGTTAAATTAAGCCTGGGCCATTAAGGTGGTTTCTCCAAGTAAAAACTAGGTTGTTTCCCACTTTGGTGTCCCCATTGAAAGAAGCGAGGGATGCTACTGCTTTATTGACATTTTGTCAAGCAATTTCAAATGTTACGGTCCACTTATACCACCTCTTTGACATTACGTTAAACTTAAAAGTGATTGTTTACGCTACTTGCTCTTCTTACAATGGGAGATTCTCAGCCCGTCATGACACGATAGCTGGTTAGGCCAACTGAGCTGGAAAGTGAATTCCAATTTAAAATCTCGGCCGGCTTGGGACTTTGGGACAATGGGTATTACAGTAATTTTGACCTTGGCCTAGTGATCAGACATCCAGCTCCGAAGTTATTGTATTGAAATAATTCATTTAGATCAAGGATTTTCTGTATACAATTTGGTATAAGTTAATTTCCACCCCCACGCCCCCTTCTTCAAATAACTTTGAAGCTTCTTTTGAGAGTGATGTCACGGTGACCCAGATATGGACCCTCATACAGAGTGGAAACCCCAGATATGCGTTAAGTAGGTTTCAAACGGAGGGCTCAAGTTTATGTACAACCAAAATCTTCCAGCATAATCATCCAGATCCCTCACAGCCGGGGCTGGCCCTGACAGGCAGGGTCAGAAGCAGGTCTCAAAAGTGATCAAAACTTTGTTGACAGGGCCGTAAAACACCTATTTAAAAAGATCATTCTGGGATTGGAGATTTGTGCAAACATTTGAGGACTCCCATAAACGATATTAAGGAAGCAGATTTTCCTAGAAGATCAAACGACTTCGGTAAAGAAAATAGCTGGGCTCTGCAAGATCTAATTTAGGGTCTAGCTAGCGAAACTAAATAACCCCTTACAAATCAATAAATGAATCTTGATGCAATAGTTTTTGGGTTTTAAGAAATTCAAGCTTGGAGGCGCGCTCGTATTAAGAAGAGGACAGTCAATAGGGCTTCTACTGCATGGTGCACAGGATAAAACAGCAACTAAACGTACACGTAGATGGTGCCACTGTTAACCCCTTCACTACAACACCTGAGACTATTTGGTGGGAATATATGGGAGACATGTTGACAAAATGAGTTATTTCTTGCAATCCAGGTATTATGGAGATGTCGTCCGAAAATAAACACCTCAAATTTGTAGATTTTAAACTGAGGCTATTTTCCTTAAGTTAAACATGTCGTTTATCACGTTATAAAATAGACTGTTGAAAACAACCTGTGAATTGCTTGTATCTCTCTGTTTACATACGGCTTAAATCTGAGAATTGACTCATTTTGTCAGCACATCTCATATATAGAAGGTTTGTCAGTGAATGGTAGCAATCTGGGAAGGCAGCACATTATAAAACTAAATAAGTTTATAAAAAAGGCATCAAGAACAATTGGTAGAGAACTAAGTAACTTTGAAT